TACTTGATCGAAACTTTATTCATTTTTACGGCTACTTGATCGAAACTATGACCTTTGAGTATTCTTTTGTGAAACACAGTTGTTAATGAGTGCTCTATCATTCGATCGCGACAAAACCAATTCTATGTTTTCGAATATGATAACCATCGAGTTGAAACGTTCAACATCAATCTGAACTCTTTTTCATAGTAGTATATTTACACCTCAGAACGAGTTATACATATTGGCATCCTGATACTGGAACAGCGACATATTTGTCTTCTCTTTAGTTGTCTTCATCCACATGCACACCATCACTCACATTCTGTCTCAACAATATTTTCTTTATTTAAAAAAAAAGCTTTTCTTTTGTTTTTCGTTAATCGTTCATTAACATTAATATTGTTAAATGGAATTTTAATTGATTCAAGATAAGTTTTGTACACGACGTCTTTGATTTGTTTTTGGTAGATCAATAAAAATTTCATCAGAATTATTATTCGATGGCCGTTATGATAATAAAAAAAAACGCCAAGCTAAATATTATTATTCTCATCTCAACTTTCATTTAAAGAACTACTGTAAATTTTCGCATATCATTTGTTTTTTCTTTTAAAATTATCATGCTAGTACTATTAATTATACTTTTATTTTATCCTTTCGTTTTGTTGTACCTAGTTATAAAATTCAATTTGGTATTGTTAATATCGATGCTGATTGGGCAACAAATATTAATACATTTGTATTTGATCCAACAAAAAATCCAAAAATAGGAAATTCATTCATTTAAAGTATGACAATATTCGATATCAAATGTGTTTGAATTATGTAATAGGTTTAACTATAAATGTATTAGATTATTTCAATACACATTCATCAGGTTGACATGTTTTCAGATATATTTTATTTGAGTCTAACATCAATTATTCAAAAATTTCGAGGAGAGAATATCAATGCTGAACATCAGTCGTTTCAGATATCAAAATAAAAAGTTTGGCTACGCAGGAAATACATTCATAACTTATATAATGTAGGTATAGAGATAATATGTGCACTTTTATACCAAAAATGTAAATGTATAGATCCTAGATTTTTCAGAGAAATCTGCAGAACTGTATGTGCGCAAATTTATTTATTAACGGCATGATTTCTTAAAATAAAAAAAACTTCTCTCTCTGAGCTGAGGCATTTCTGTCCACTAACTTACATGTATGATTTAATTGAATAAACCAAAAAATTGATTCATATTCATGTCTTGTTTTATTATAGGCTGATGGTACTGATTCATATCGTGACACATTTCAAATTTTACGTCGATTAGTTGGTTCAGATGCTTTCATTATGTCACGTCCAGTTGATATGGATCTTAATTATGTGTTATATGCTTGGAAGTAGTCGTCGTGGTTATGTTAGTTTTGGTTCGGATATTAGTGACTATTGAACTGATGTTAAAGCTGATACAATTAGGTCGTACAAAGGAATTATTTATTTGTTGGACAGGTGTTGATGAATTGACTTCATTTATGGAAAACGGTAGTGGTGGTGAACATTTGCCATAAAATTTAATACAAAAGTGGCACTTGAACGAATTGGTACATTAATGTGATCATGTGATGATGTTGAAGCACTATTTAGTCATTCATATTTTCTTGGTTCCAGTATATATGTTGTAGCAGTTTTACAAGATCCAACACTTGGTCAAACACTACGTTTATGATGACCAAAACGCATAACAAATCAATGGATTAGTTAGGATATGGCGTGTGAGGTAGATGTAGGTATGGGTGTGTATATAGTTCTTGTCTTAACTCGCACCCATACCACACAGCTACATCCACATCCATACCCACCACACCTCACCCATCCCTCGAAAAATAATTCAAAAGTGAGTTATACAGAGAGAACTAGACAAGGTAAGCTGAACGTTGAAACTGGAAGTTCTTGAGTCACTTTCTATTTGCATTAACTTATATTAATACTCGATACTGAGTATCACTATTATAAGTGTTTAATGAATGAGTATTAATGTAAGTAGCATAAAATTTCCAATAATAGCATGTGAGTAGAGTACCAAGATTAAGAATCTGAATATTATTGCGTCAATAGATTCAATCGAATCTTAATCAATTCAACTGTTCGGCAGATTCTTTTGTTAACGTCTCTGATCGTTGTCATTGAAAATCCTTTTGTCTGTTAATCTGAATTATCATCTTTTGCAATAGTTCGATCGACGAAAGAATATAAAGAAATAGTCAAATAGATTTATTTGTGTTACTACCTTTTCAATAAACAAGACAGAAGCTAAGTGCATTGTTTTATAAATTAAATAGCCTGAACACACATTAATTGAAAAAAAATTACTAAACAAAATTGTATTTCGTTAGAATGAATATATAACATCTTTTATAAAGAAAACTAATTTCCGTTCGTCCATCGTTATAATCTCGAGGATCACTCTAAAAGATAGTAACTTCAATCAATATTTCGAATAGAAGATGTAGGAAACGAAAGTAAAATGTGCAGAGCATCTATTTGATTTCTTAATTAGAAAAAAAGGACATAGTGTACTACATACACATCGCTAAAAAGTTTTACAGGTCAATTTCAGAATTTGAAGCATTTCCTATCGTTGTAAAGTAAAGCTTATGTTTGTTCTTTTTCTATTATTTTCTTGTAAATACCTCAAATATTGAAATTGTCTGTGTATTTATTATTTATATGCATCCCAAGTCAATTTATTTTTTTTCATTAAGGAAAAAACATGAGTATTATTTTCTGTTGTTTTTTTTCAATGGTTAAAAACTTGCTTTTTGTTCATTTGCTAAGCTTAGCTTATATGAGAAAAATGTAGGAAAGATTTTTTTTTGTTATAGATATTTCAATAGAAATATTCATCTCAAGTACAGCATTGAACCAAATAAAACTGATAAGTAGAACATTAGTTGTTCGAACATTTATCAATAAATAATCAACTATATTATCATAATCATAAAGAAGTTTTTCACTCAGCAATCAAATGGATAAGTCATAACAATAAATACCTATATTTTATCTAGTTTTTTTCTTGTCTAGCATCATTTTGTTCCAAAGCCTGTAATAACAAGTAAGCTATATAATCAATGAAAAAATTAACTTGCTTTCTTTATTTATCAGATATTGAACCAATCAACACTTTTACAACTACTCAATCTAAAAAATGTTTTCTTTTAGCTGGTTCAACAAGCTGAGGATATTGAAAAACCTGTTACATTTCGAAATCAAACTGGTCAAAATCTTCAAGCAATATCTATGCCTGGTGTTTCAATAAGTAAACAACCTCTTATAGTTTCATCTCAAACAAATCAAAATTTCTTTCATTTGTAAGTATTTATCGATGAAAAATACAGCACGTATTTCCTCTTTTTTAATCAGAAAAAAAAGAATCAAACAACAACAACAATATTAAATAATTTCTTTGATACTTTTTTTGTTTAGAATGCAATTCTTCACCAATAAATATTATTCAACAACAAAAAATTTCTATTACTTCTTTTGTAAAACAACAGATAAAAACGAAAAGGAAATCTTTATGTTTTTCAATTAGATGTTTATTTTATAACCCCAATAAAAATTTGTCACTAACAGTTATTATTCTTCCTACAATTTCATCATTTAATATGCAATCAAGTAAATAATTTTATTTTTAAATAACAATCGACAAATTCTTTATTTTTTCATAGAATCTTCTACAAATATAACAACAACGATAACAATGCAACCATCAACAGATAATACACAAATATCTGCTACAACATTTCCAACATCAACTTTCAATGAATCTACTTTACAAACACATTATAATACAACATCTGGTTAGCTAGAAAAAAAAAGAATTCAAAAATGGGGAATAAAACATATTTCTTTAAATATAATCACATAATTCAACAACAGAAGCAGATGAGGATGTATGTTTTTCACAAGTAACACAAAGAATTAATCAGCATCATCGACGATTGAACAAGGAAACGAAAAATAATAATTTATTTTTTCTTATGTTTATTATTTTTATCATATAATGTAGTTCAAGCTTATTCAAAAACAAACGTCCATGATCAGAGTAAAACTAAGTTTTTTTGCTGTTCTTGTTCTAAAAGGGATTTTTATTTTCTCTACTTTTTTGTAGATCATATGAACATGATTCACTTACTAATAAACGAACAAAATGCCATCCAATGGTTCAAGATACAATTATAACAATACCAAATGTAACAACAACAATGATAAAAAATTAATAATTTACATCGATATACAAATGATTGTATTTCACAAATTATTTCAAATCAACAACTAATTAATCATATAGCAAGTTATTCAGATATATTTATTCTTGGATATTCATATTTTTAAATGCGATAAGATCGAATATAATACTCAAAATTCTAAGACTCAATAAAATATAAATATAATTTCAAATAAATATCTATAGAGACTTAGCCAGAAGATGAGAAAAAAATACAAATGATTCAATCTGACATTCACATTTGATTCTGAAATAACATCTTTTTTTGACGAAATTTTCTATATGACAGTCCAAACATCAATTTGGGTAGTATATGAAACATCAATGATATAAATTAAGCTTCAGTAACATGTTTTTATTTGTGTTTTTCATGAAATGATAGTATATTTCGAATGAAAAACAAGTTAAAACAATGAAGACAAGTAGAAAAAATAAATAAAACTATTTGTTTTTAAAACAATACTATTTGATTATATTCATACAATCTCTTAAACTTACTCTCGAAACATGATATTAGAGAAAACTACCTCTTACAACTATTCATTTAGCGCAATTGAACAATATTGATTTCAAGATCTTGTACATTATCATTAAATTCAAGATAGAGAGTTTCGTTTTGTTTTTAATATTCACTTATCTTCGTAGTTTTAATAAGAACTTGATTCTAATACATTTATTATATCAATTGATTTCTTTTGTAAAATTCATAGATTACAATTCCTGTTAATAACACTTCATTATTACAACAACCTCAAAATCTTATTTATCGTTTCTTATTGACCAAGCATTGTGAATAAACATGCTTGCTCCTCATTCATCAATTATTATATCATAAATAACAATACCTTATGTCCCATACAGATAGATAAATGACAAAACGACATTTTAACACATTAAATGTTAAAATCAAAAGGAACAATGCTGTATCACTCGCTTGCACTTCTGGTATAAACAAAGATGATGCATTTAAACATTTTTTTTTTGTTCGATGTTAATTTCTTTAAATAAATTTAGTAAAAAAAAATCAATGGTCTAGCCCATTTCAATTCTAAGATAGATCTGCTTTTACGAATTTATCTACAGAAAATGAAAAATAAATATATGTAATAATTCGTTGAAACCCCTTTTATATGATTATTTTTCTCAGATTGATGCTTTTCAATGTTATTATTTTTCGTTGATTTATCATACTTATTTGATACATTAATTCACAGCATAAAATAAGATCGCAACCATTAACTAAAGATTGAGGTGTCTCTTCTACTCTCCTTTGTAGAGATTATTCATGATTGATCAATAATTTATTGATCAATGTTTTTATATCAAAATAGTTTACATCATCCAATTTCTTTATTTCAGCAAAATATATAGTAATCAGAAAAAAAAGGATTCTTGATATACTCAACATTATCTGTATTAATTTTTATGATTATTAGATCACTAGCATAGTTAATATCTTTCTTTTTGTATATTATTATTTCATTTTGATGACGTTGATCCTTGTAGAATAATCTCTCAATGATTTTCTCTTTTTAAAAATGTCTCCATCAATTAAATGATATGAAAAAGAAATCATTAATTGGCTTTTTGTCTTTATAAACTAAGAAGAAACCTAACTCACCATTTATATATGAAACACCTTGAATAGGTTTTAATCTAAAACAAAGTGTGGACAGTCCTACTAAATAGTGCTGATCTTAGTTCATTCTGTGTACATGTATGTTTGCTTATATCTTCACTAAATACATCAACTAGGAAAACAAAACAATCATCAACAATATGTGGTAGAAACAATAAAATCTAGTTCTACTAATACATTGATTTTGAGAGAAACATTTTTCTTTACCTTTTAAAAATATCTAAATAATTCATCAATTGATTCACTTGATGTACATATGATAATTTTGTTACAATTACTGTTTGATCAGCACTGCTTTGATTGGATACTCATCTTTTGATAAATGTATTTGCTAAAATGTGAAATGTAACATTGGATACAAATAAGAATTTATTTACACCCTAGTATTTATACTAAAAACAATAATAATAATAGGGTAATACAAAAGTGGAAAAGGCTAAATGATATCTAAAAAGATTGATTTATTTCTAAAAGATATTTTAAATCAACACCAAATGTTAATAAAAAAAAACTTACTAATGAAATTTTTGATCATCTTTTTAAGAGTTTTCTAAATCAACTTGATCTGGTTTGAATTCCTGATAGATTTAGCATAATAATTTTTTTTTCCAAAATATCCATGTATTATGACAAAACTCAATTCATAACTATTTAAATGCAATGTGACAATATTTTTGTTCGAACCTAGCTTCTTATTGATCTTCTCCATCATATACTAAAAAGCTTTTAAGTTGGAAATTTCGCTCATAGGTAAAGAATGTACAAGCTAGAAAAATCCGAACAGGATTATGAGCCTGAGTTAAGATTTGGTTGAGATATTGACTTTTGCCTACAATCGTCTTAGGGGACTTAACTCTTCTGTTAAAATCAAACTTTTAAGCTTTGACTTGAAACTTTACATCAATCGAACTCTCAATCAGACTAACTTGTCTACAAAGTTTCAGAATTATCGGATGAATTATTCCCGAGATATCAGTATGTTAATCTAATGATGCTTGTCATATATGTAAGAAGATGAGAGTAAAAAGTCGATATTTCAGTCAAATTTTATCTTGGACTCATATCCTCTTAAATTTTTGCTAGTTTATATATCCCTTACCTGAAGACAAAATCTGAGCTCAAAGGCTTTTTAGCACCTGATAAGATTTTTCTCACTAGATATTATTTCCTCTTGGTTACATACAACGTAATTAGGTTGCTCTGTGTGGACTGTCAGTATTAGTGTAAATATTTTAGAAGAACATATTGACATTCACATCTACACTCTGTTTAGAGCACAAAATAGTACACAAGTATATGTGAGAAAATCTTAGTTACTAGAAGTTTCAAGAAAACTATGATTAAGAAATGATTTTGGGCTTTTTTTGGCTATTTTTTAGTAGATTTGTGTCAGAAAAATTCTATTTGTAGAAAAGAAAAAATTAATATAATATTTTGAATCTGCATTATAAACTCAGTGGACTCACGTAAATTTCAAACATTCTCATGCATTTCTTTCTTTTTTTTCGCCGAAAATTTACCCTTGATGCTATTCGTGAGAGTTGGATCACAAAATGAATATGATTAGAACAATTTTCGAATAATGTGAATCACGCTCAAATACTATAAAATGGTAATAGAACTCCAAATCATAGATACATTAACGATAAAAATGGTGTGTTAACGACACTTAATTTTCACCAAATCTTGCCCAGCACCGAAGGTCAATTTTTCAATGGAAAAAACCTGCACAAGAATATTCGAAATTGACCTACGCCCGCTGAGTTAAGAATGTTGATATAAAATATCAAATTAGTTTTAACTCGAGTAGAGATTTTCGAACTGAAATTTAATAAATATCAAGCAGAAAAAACACCACACAATAACTAACTTTTAGCTGTTTGTTTAAGCAATATAATAGTTAGAATTTCCCAAGGTTCCCTTAGTAATATGCAATACATGTGTGTCGATAGATAATATTAGTAAGAAAAGGACATCAGGATAGTAAGATCTGAAGAATAAAATTCTAGATTGATAATACTATTCTAGTATGATTTTTGAAGGCAATATATGATCGTAACAATGATGAGCTATCCTGTTTTGTAATAATCTTTCTTTTACGAACACAGAAAAAATACTATTTATTAACTGTTGAAAATTCACAAATCATTCAATGTGTATATTTGGTAAAAAAGAAAAAAGACAAACAAAACACTTGCTCACTATATAAAAAGAAAATATTTATTCTTCAATCGAATTTAACCAATCATTCAAGGTTTTCGTGTCCCAATTATTCGAAAAAAAATTATAACAACAATTTATACTCATTGTAGAAAAACAAAAAAAATACTCACTCGCTGTATAAAAAATGTTTTATTCTTATACATGGGCGACAATTATTACTCGAAAATTACAAAAGTACTGTTTCAATTTCACCTAATTTTTAAGCTCTTTTGACACATCTCTTTCATCTACAGATCAGTCTATTTTTCAGTTGATTCAAGGGCCTTGAATCAAGGCTCATGTTGTGCATTTATTAGTATGTATGCGAGTAACGTTGAGAAATTGAAAGAGAAAGCGAGAGAAAAAAAAGCAAAAAAAAATCTTCTCTTTCTTTCCGTCTAGTCACACATGAGTAACTTTTTTCTAAAATAGTGCATAGTCTTAACTGTCTCTCATTGATCAGCTACCTTTTATAATATTGCTTTCTCTTAGTCATTATTATTTACATTTTCAATGATAGTCACTACATGAATGTTCCTCTTTCTGTTGCCTCTCTTTTAGATAATGAATGAGCAACGTGCTTTTTATTCAGATAGGATTAAAACTGCACAATAGCTGAATAAACGTCATTGATACACAATAATTGACAGTTGCATGGGATAGAAAAAAGACAAAAAAGCCTACTTACATGCAGGTAGAGCTCGAGTTTCAGGTGAATAGAAAGATATGACTAAGACAATATATACACCATTTTTCTCTGCCTTAATAGTAATATGCATTGTATGCTTACGAGAAAAAAATCACTCTCTGTGAGCAAAAAATAAATCTATCTCTTTCGCCGTCGATAAAAAATACTTTCTTTTGTAAATTTCTCTTTCATAGACAATCAACGTATATATATAGCCGAAACACAACCGTACAATTGTAGTAGTTGCATACTTATTTATACATGTGTCTACCACTTTCTTGTCAAACGCTAAAAATCAACAAACAGCAATGAAGCCAAGTAGCACAACAGCTTGCTTGACCATCGTTGTGGTTTTGACAGCAAAAATTTACTTGGCACAAGCAGTTGCAATTCCAGATGCAAATGCTAAGCGATTGCTGCATCGAGCAGATCAAAAAGGTAAAGTTTCTTCATTTATCACAAG